TCTCATTCATCATGGCTGCCGATGATGATCAGCACTGCCTGTTTGGATAGCAGTGTGGGAAAATATGCACATGTCAACGACAGGTGTTGTGACAATATGAAAATCTGACGGAATCGTTGGAAGGTCTGCTGATTTTTATTCATACGAATTCGAGCATGGATGTACAGAAACCAACAAGAATTCACTTAAATTTCCAGAAAAAAAAATTATCACCGACCACACAATAGTTGACCATGTGCATTTTTTCCCCACCGCCGTTGGTATAGTCATCACACTAGATGTCTCTTCACGTCTCCCCTATTCTACGTGCTGGCCTCCTACCTAGTGCCAGCACACCAGCCCGGCATTACCAGCCGATTGCTGCTTACTATGGGATCTCTTAAGGAGGATATATTCTATCAAAAGCCAATAATTATACGTGGTCGTTACAGCACTTTCCTTTTTTTCAACTGTCAGGTCGACAGTGTGAATCTGCCAGGACAGAAGGGGCTTTTACTGTCACCAACAATCACTCTCTAGTCATGTCACAGCTTTCTCCTGGTAAGTTCAAAACTACTGCGATGTTCAGGAGTAATCACTGTTCGTGACGGCGCAGAGCACAAGGGTTTATTCATTTCTCATGGTTTAGTTTTCTTCAAGGAAGCATCCGGTTTGCTGAGTTGGTAGTTTTCCAAATGCCTTCGATGCAGTGGAGGGGAACTCTCAGGTTCCTAAGGAGGCGCTGATAAATACAGAGCCACTCAGTTGCTGTCGGAGCTCCAGTCAGCGGCTAAGCAAACGGGGTGGGATAGAGTGCAGTCTCAGCTATGTAGCAGGGCGGAGAGGTTATGCAACGCTCCTGAGCGGACGACTTTGGAAGTAAGTAATTCAACATGCCGAGTAGCTGAAACAACTCCATTTTTGTTGAGACATTCGACGGTTTACTGTTTCTACTTGAGCTTCTTCCCGAGTGGGCGAAGGTGACGATTGTGTTGATGCTTTGTACGACACTGAACGATGTCGTGTTCTAACAAAGACATGCTGTCGTTGCACCCATTGTTATCATAGCCCTGCGTTGGTAGTTTTATAACGTGTTAATCAATAGCAGTGCAAGGAGAGAGCAGGGAAGAGATTCATCCCCACAGGAACTACTGAACCAACAGTAGTTACTCAGAGTATCTGATGCCCGGCTTAGTCTCACCCGTCACGGCACGCGACTGCCCCTGGGGGTGACACTATACTCCCTGTCCATTCATCGCCTAGCTCTACGAGATTCTTGGGGAGTTTCGACTAAGCCTAACGCGATCTGATGTGATTTCATGTCGATCGCCACGTGAAGGTGATGTCTCCTCTGAGGACTTTTAAGAGTACACTCGAGCCTGGCAGTGTATCTCCCTTGCGTTGTGAACTATTATAAAGGTATCGAGTTTAATACATGTCAATTCGCAAGCCAGGGATGACCACGATTGCCTTAGGCTGTTCTTCTGATAAAGTTGGTCGCAGTTGATAGAGCTCTTTGTGAGAATTCGGAGTACTCGCCACAACAGGGTCATGCCTTACTGCAGTTGTATATTGTCGGCCGTCTTGTCACTCGATTTCTTCTATGGCGAACCGGAGCCAGTTCCCTAGTGTTATGGGCTCATCCACGACTTATCCGCCACCGCCCTTTCCGGAGGAGTACTACGTCGTTAGCTATGTGGTTATACTCGTACGTATAGTGTGTATCCATTTGATATGAAAATGTAGGACAAATTATAGTGAACAAGTTGTCGCTATCATCACAGTCCCAAACGGGTACTTTCATCACAACATATGTTCATAGCCATTGTTACATTGTATATGCGATATAGTTTAATCTCGGAGAAAATAACACACATTTGCATATCAAATTGTTTGTGTTAGGGTGTACTCTCCGTATGCTTGGGCACCTGCTTCTTTCCCTGGTCAATTTTCACTACCCCCAGGCCCCAAGTATGATGACAATCCAGCCTGGGAGTAAGTACGACATTTTATAGAGTCTTCACGCGAGTCGCTGATCAGGCGGTTCCGACAAGCCATGTCGCACCCAGTGAGTACGCCGGTCGTTCCTGAGGCGGCTCGGAAGAGGACCGACGAGGTTTTAGCCAGGCTCAGTGAGGAGCGCAAGAAGTTGATGGTAGATGCACATAGGCATGCAATGGTCGATGTAGCTGTGCTGGCTAGTCACGATTCCCCCCGTTGACTCCGTCTAGTGTCGGAAGTAACTGCCTACGGCATCCCATAGTAGGGGGCTTTGCCACGCCTCTTCCTCATGAGGTGAGAGTAGCTTGTGTGAACTCGATCAGTGGTATCGATAGATGGAGGAGGATCCTGGCCCTCGAGAGATTCGGGCTCCCATGGGGCCGTCTATGAAGGTCATACGTGAAGAAGATCATCAACTGACATCTAGGGAGGCTTCTAACTTTGGGGTGAGGCTGAGACACTCGTATGCAGTGTTGGACGAATGTATGTTCGCTCTCCTCTATAGAGGAGCCCCGGTAGAAATGTCCAGAAAGCAAGGAGAATTTACCAAAATTTCCTCACAAATTTCATAGTGTCACCAACACATGTAGTTGACTAGGTGTATATTTCTCTACCCTGGCTGTATAAGGGGCTGTTCAGGGCGGTCTTGCTCGCTTCGGACCTGTTGAGGTTGACCCGTTATCACCTGAAGAGCGAGCAGTGGCGGCCCGTCGGAACAGCAACGCTTTCAGAACTAGCCTTTCTCACAGGCGCAGTACTATCGATAATTTCTTGTAAGTCTAATGGGAGATGTCTTTCATTTCGATGGACAATGGCCCTTTAGGGAGGGAGGCTTGAGGAGGTCTATGTCGGCAGATGGACGAATAGGAAGTGCGTATGAGGTGGGTGCTTAGGACGAACATTACTGCTACTATAGGGCTTTGTTTTGCCCGCAGGGTGGAGATAAAGAGAATCAGGGAATGCTCAACCAGACGGCGACATTTGGGTAGGGGTTTGTGCTTAGGTCGGGCAATGCTGTCGAATCAGGTCGCCAAGACTAAAGAGGAGGTCGACTATAGGCGGTTTTCCGAGCCGTACCACACGGCCGCCGGTCTTATGCAGTAGAGGCACGGGCAATGCCGACATACGGGACGCTCATGCGATGTGTTGTAATGCATGTCCGTGTAAACGTGGTGGTAAGCTGCCTACCTGCTGTGAGCACTGCTCGCTGGAGAGCAAGAGGCGTCCCGAGGGGCGCGACAGAGGTGAGCTTATTTTTTATTTTTGTCGGAAGTGATGTTTCCTCAGTCGAGGTGAAAGACACAGCTTGCAATACGGATTGGGAGGAGGAGAGGGAGCTTGGTAACTCGGCGGCTATTGTGAGGAGAAGGAAGAGGCCGCGGAACAGCAGCTCGTGGGGGTGCTGCTGAATCTCGTTATTGGTATGGGGTGTGCTTAGTCCTCCTGAGGGTGATAGGGAATCAGCTGAGGATGTTTGTCATCACTTTGGGCCCTGGCGAGGAGAGGTGCCTCCGAGGTAGAGGGAATGCCGCTGATCTTGAAGCTGAAAATTCATGTGGTGGTGGCAATACGAAAATTTCTGTACACTTCTACTCCAGGCCGTTTGTGAACTTCGGTAAGCAGCGAGGAAACTCCCCAAATTAGTTTAGGAATAAGAACATGAGGAGCGAATTTTTTTTCCGAGGGAAATTAAAAAAATCAACATTTCTCGTCGGCGAAACTTTCACAAAGCATAGATATAACGATTATTCATTGAATATTGGAATGAACCGTTTTTGGGATATGAGGGCGAACGAGAAAATCACCACCCAGCACCGGTGTCGCCTTTCCAGGCCTATCCCACCAGAGGATGCTGCTGCACGTGAACGCATAAGGAGGCCGGAAGGGAGAAGAGCAGGCCGAGCCCTGGGGGGCCAGGCCAACGTGGTGCCAACGCATGAGCCTGTCCGAGTACTGCAGAGAGATCAATACCACAATTCGCAAACCACTAGTGTGGAGGTGGGCGAGTGGGACGAATGCTCTCCTACTATGAAGTAGGGTACTTTCCAATCTTTGCTGGACGAGGCAGAGGCAGCGGTCGTTCCCGAAGTTGTGAATCGGCATGAACGAAATCACTCGCGAGGGCATCATCAACAACAACAACCTGATCATCGTGGAGCGCATCGAGGCCATAGGAAGGACCGCAGGGAAAGGGAAATAGTAGGTGTTGTATTTCTCCAGAACATGCAGTATTTGTTCCCAGGGTGTTCCCCGAGGAGGTGGGAGTGTTAGCTCAGTAGGAAATGTGGAGTCCCAACCTGGCGATGAATACGGGGCTAGCTACATGAATACACTAGGTGGGAGTAGCTGTGTTGGAGTAGGAATATATGTTCGCTTTCCTCACCTGAGCTCAGGAGTTTCCTATACAGTGTTGGAGTAGGAATATATGTTCGCTTTCCTCACCTGAGCTCAGGAGTTTCCTATACAGTGTTGGAGTAGGAATATATGTTCGCTTACCTCAGCTGAGCTCAGGAGTTTCCTATACAGTGTTGGAGTAGGAATATATGTTCGCTTACCTCAGCTGAGCTCAGGAGTTTCCTATATGAGTTCAAATACAATCCGGATAGAAGTGTACAGAAACCAATGAGATTTTCCCATATCTTCCTCAGTATTTTTCATATTGTCACGAACACATGTAGTTGACCATATGTATATTTCCTCCCACTCTCGGTGGGAGAGGGGCGCTCGGCGTGCTGTGATTGGTGTTGCGATGGAAGTAGCAGTAGAATGATTGCGTGCCAAGTTGATATGCAAATATGGAGAATGTGTGTTTTCTTTTTATTGATAATGAACAACTTGTCGCTATCACAATCTCGAAAGGTTACTTTTATCACATCACATGTTCATAGCAATGTTAACATTGTTTATGCGATATAGTTCAATCTCGGGAAATGATACGCATTTGCACATAAAATTGTAACGTACTATTTGGTGTATATAAATGGAGTTTCACCCTAGTGATATGGAAAACAGTAGTGAATAACATATTTCACGACTACTGCATATCACCGCGAATATCGCGTTTTCCGCCGACTTTCACGCCGCTTCACGTAAAACTGATGAAATTTCAGTGTTGGGTTGTAGTTGGACATTTTGTAGAGAATATTGTATATTAACTCATGTTGCTCTTTGCGAGCGTTAGGAATGTACTCGAATGGGAAATGACATAGTTCGCATATCAAATTCAAACGTACTGTATTGTTCGACTCGGGAGAGCTCAACAGGGTTCCTCTCATTGCTAGATCCGGAGGCTCAAGAAGTAGAGAGGGCGGACCGTCATCGTCACCCTGAGGGAAGGGTCGTTCGGTCTGATCTGCTCCGAAGTGGTCCTGTGGGAGGCCATCGTAACCCGAGGAGAGAGTCCTCTGAAGATCCCGACGAGACGGCTAGGTGAGTGTGATGTTACTTGTGACATGTCGGATGTGAACTATGTCAAAAAGTCCAAGTACAGTGATAGCGATATACAAGTACTTTAGGGCATGCATATTCAATTGAATATATCCACTGCCACTAACATAACACAAATAGCATCTTGGAAAGATAAAGTGTCCAAATTTCGTCAGGTTTATGGCAGATACCATTCGAAGCGCCACACTAATGGGAGTCGGAAAATGTGTAAAATATAGTTTTCTACCCCATATATGTGCAGTTTTTGTCATGTATAGATTTCACACGTAAAATGTAGCTCGATACCATCGTTTATATGGACAATAGTAGCTCGCCCGAGATATATATGTGCTTATAAACGCAGTTTTCTGGTATCTCCAGGTAAAAATTTAATTTTCACCAACACGCGTTATCATTTGATGAAGCTTCAAGTAGACTTGGTATAACATTCATTGTTGGTAACTTATGAAAATCATGGGAAAATTTTAACGAAAAAAGTAAAAGAAGAAATTTTTCGGGAAGAAATGTATGCGTAGGCACTTGTCTTTCGAAGATCCTTCTTTCGATATCACCGCTGCTGAGGAACCTGACTTTCCCGACCCTGGTATATGTGATGATGCGGTTTCTGACATACCTGGCCCTTCGGAGACGGTATCATTCGGGGATCGTCATGGGAGGGAGGAGAGGCATAAGATGGTGGATACTTCAGTAGGTTGCCGCTACGGTACGTGTGAACTTGATATGCAAATGTGTGTTATTTTGTAAGACAAATTATAGTGAACAAGTACCCCAGACGGGTACTTTCATCACAACATATGTTCATAGCCATTGTTACATTGTATATGCGATATAGTTTAATCTCGGAAAAAAATAACACACATTTGCATATCAAGTTCACCCGCGTTGTACTTGATGTTCGTTATCGTTAGCTGCAAGTTGGGCCGGAGCTGTATCGGCCTACTGTGGCGGCTCCGCATCGGAAGAAGGCTCAGCATAGGAAGAACAGAGATCCAGAGAGCAGTGATGGAACTCTCGAAGAAGAATTTGTGAGAACTCAAGGGCGATCCTGTTGGTTGAATCAGTGGAGTTTCACCCTAGTGATATGAAAAACATTAGTGAAAAACATATTTCACGACTACTGCATACCGCGAGTATCGGGTTTTTCACCGAGTTTTACGTTGAAACTCCAGTGTTGGAATATATGTCCGCTTTCCTCAGCTGATCTCAGGAGTTCCCTCACTAATTATACATGTTTATATACGAATTCGGACAGAAATGTTCAGAAACTAACCAAAATTTTCTGAAATTTCCTCAGAATTTTCATATTGTCGCCAACACATGCAGTTGACCATGTGCATATTTTCTCTCCGATCTGCATTGAATATCTCACGAGTTTGGGTAGAAATGTTCAGAAACCAACAAGATTTTTCTGAAATTTCCTCAGAATTTTCATATTGTCGCCAACACATGCAGCTGACCATGTGCATATTTTATTGTCAGGAGCAGCACGAGTACGGTAGAGGTGCTCCGAGGTCCACCCGAAGGCCCCCACTTAATATTTTGAAGGGCGAGAGAGTCGTGTATAAGCGGACTGATAGTGGGAAGGATCTCATGATAGGAGTTCTCTCGAGGCGTAGACATGATAACAAAAACGGAGGGAGTAGTGAAGACATGAAGACCCTTGGGAATGTGAGATCTTTCAGGGGGTAGGAGTGAAAGTAGGATGTCTTCTGTGGAGGTGGCGTCTCCTCGGGGGAGGAATAGGGCCAGTCAGGAGAGCTATGATCCGAATAAATGTGAGAGACCCTTTGGGGCACTTCGAGGTGACTCATTATCCCTCAGCTGTAGTACCTCCGGAATCCACTGTGATTGACAAGATTTCCAGTTTGGTGTCGGAGCGATCTCCTACTAAAGTAGAGCGTGGGAAGAAGCGTGGGAAAAAGAAGGCGACAGCACGAGCAAGGCAGGCCCAGCCCAAAGCCAAGTCCCGGGCTGCCCGGAAGAAGACCGGCGTCATTAACGCAAAGAGGGGGGCTCAGAGAGTGGCAGCAGCTAAGGCCTCATCGAAGGGAGCGACCGAGGCTCGAGGGGCCGGCAAGAAAACGCGTAAGGTTGTGATGGGAACTATGCAGGGATCCATCTAGCTTTGAGAAATAACGTTGGCCAGGGTTTGGTAACAATAAGGAAAATGATGTTCCTAATGTGATGATATTTACATGGGGGGAAACTGATTGAAGAATATGTTCCTAGCCATACGTGGAAAATTCAACAATGAAGTACTCCCGGGAAAATTATAGGTTCCTGGATCCAGGTGCTGGAAGACCGGAGACGGTTGTGGCGGCCCATGCTCATCGTGAGGGCGGCCCGACGTGTGCACAGTACTCTCCGGAGGACAAGTGTTGGAAGAGTGATGGTACGGACAAGGAGATTCTTGCTGGTCACAAACTCGTTTCATATGCGAAGGACCGCACTATGAAGATTTTCAGCGGTGTTAAATGTGTGGTGCCGCTAGACTCTCAACATTTTATGCCCGTGATTTTCCAGCTCAAGCCGTTCCAGCAGAAGATGCCAGAGACTGTGTCCGAGGGGAACTCGGCGATCATACTGGTGTTAGAATGTGGGGAGGGTGGCGACAAGGCTGTTGAGGAGTTTCCTATCTTGCTACACTATGAAGATAAAGAGCGGGCTCTTGGCACTGGTGATTTCTTCATCGTTCGAGCTGGCATTACATATAGTATCCAGAATGAGCACCGGAGTAAGGAGGCTAAGATTCTTATGGTACTTCGACAGGACACTGTGGAGGATTCTGGCTTGAACTCGGACCTTGAGATCTCATGATGAATCCTGCTTATGGTGACTATCGGTGTATCGTTGTTATTGGAATTCATTTGTCAACTTTGTATGATCGGTTGAATGCAGTAGAGCATTTTAATAACATACCATGTTGTGAGATGAGGCTTTAGGGGGGCCTGCCATGCAAGAAAGGTCGTATGAGAATTGCGTTGGAGAACGGGAACTCGTTGGGATCGTTCTTACCGTCAAAAGTTCAACTTGGAGATGTCGCATCTTCCTTGATGGAAAGCCCCGTATCGTCAGCGTTGGAATATGTGTTCGCTTTCCTTAGCTGATCTCAGCCTGAGATCTCAGGAGATCTCCTGAGATTCTCAGGAGCTTTCTCACCAACCAAGTCGGAATACAAGAGTTTGTATATGGAGCCGGTAAGATCATAAACCAATGAAAAATCCCCAAAATTTTGCTGGCCATCTACATATTCCCCCACACTGCATGTCGTTACCTTCAAGGCGATGAGGGAATTCTCCGGAAGTTCCATGGGGTCTTCCTGTCATTTCAGCGCGTTCAGAGCTTAGCTGAGGATCCCTCACGTATTGGCTATTCGAGGATCGAGCTCATGTGGACGTTGTCCTCATGTCAACTATTCTAGATGGTATAGATCTCTTCTAGCAAGTATGCTCAGAGCATGGATAGTTGCACTGTTCGTAGTTTTCACGTGCATAGTCTGAAAAATATAAGAAGCCTTTCTACCACTCGACCGTTGTGGTGTTCGCCCCAGTGAAGCTGTTGCCGTAAGCCCCTACAACATCAACTGACGAGTTCAATCATGTGTTGGATCGATTTCAAAATGACCACCTATTTCACTAAAATTTAGGGTAATTCATTGAAGACAGTCTGGAAAGGATGGCGTTTTTCAAGCCCACTGTCGCTTTGATGAGTTTTACATGGATCTTGCTTTTGACTGGATGATTGTTTGATGATGGTAACTAGCTCAAATTTAGGTTTTGTTCGATGATAACGGGAAGGGGAAGGGAAATTCTTGGCGTTACGTCGACGTTGTCATCCTCTGGCTTATAGGCTAACTAGGTTCTCTTATTTCTCGAGCCACGAGGGACATTCATAACAGTGTTGCTGCCATGTGAAATACCATCGAGAAGCATGTGAACATGGCATGTTATAATTGTCTAATAGTCTACACTCTGAGTTCGCGAGTTCAAAAAGTTCTTGTTGCGTTTGCTAAGAATCCGCGGCGGCCAGCACGTACAACTGTTCAGAACTGTTATAGAGCATTTCGGAATTCTCTAACTCGTTTAGTACATACTGTACTCGAAACAGTTCTGTCATCGAGTTTCTAGCTACACCATCGTAGACCACCCATCATGGTGTACATTCATAAAGTCAAAACTTGCAGTTTCTCATTTATTGTGAACTAGGGTGCAGGGGGAACACTTGAGCACGCATGCTCGAAGTGGAACGCGAAATACTCGCACAGAAACAGCCGCAGGTAAGGATGCCCGGATATTTCAAACATGCTCACCTCAGGTGAGCGAGGGTGAGTCACCTGTGATTCACAGTGGTGTAAAGCTGTGTTCGATATGGAACCTGTTTTACGGTTACGATTTCGAGTCGGGATCGTTAAGAAGAATTCTCTCTTGTCGGGAATCTTGCCACTCGCGAATTGCGGGTGTTTTTGATCCAACACCGCCAAGTGCTCTACGCATCTGTCTAACACGCTCAAGAGCCGGGTCTGTAGTCATCCCTGTTGACATAAGAGACAGTGCTCCAGGAGTAGCGGAGCTGCATTATAGAGGAATGTGGTGGTCTTACCTGATGCTCAGGGGATGCATTTGAGAACTCAGGATTTAATTCAATACTGAATTTACTCACGGTCGAATACGACTTGAGAAGGGCCTCGCAATGAAGTTTCGGAGCAACCTGTGAAGCGTGCACGTGTACACGTGTGTCGCGGTCAATGGCGCACAGTCAGTGAGTTCAGATGGCGAGTCGCGGGTGATGGTGATTCGTGGATAGTCTCCAATGCTGAGTATGTGCGGGACTATGACAATACAGTGTCACTCCAGTGGGGCGTATATGAAATCTACCATGCTCCAAGGCTCGGAGGACCCACCAGGGCGCCTGCTTGAGGTCTAAAACGAACCCGATGTTTACATGATAGAATGTCGTGCCTTGAAAGTGGGGCGTCCGCTATGCTGTAAGGACAGGATCACAAACGAGTTAAAACGGCAACAGCGTTCTCATGGGGCTTTTTACAAGACTAAGGATCGCGAGTTCCGATGATGAGGATCGAGTAGAAGCTGTCTACGGAGGGAGTACACTCTGTTTTCATCGTTTCTTTTCCCGCGACCATGATCGAGTTCTTCCTCCTGAACCCCTGGTCGTCAATACTCGGTATTATCATTGCCGTCATTGCAGTGA